CGGTCTGAACTCCTCCGTGTAAAGTAATTTCATGTTCATAAGTGATTAAACTTTTTGTAAATTCGTGATTGCTTGGTAATAACATGGGGAATTTTTTGTCATAATGTATATCAGCTTGACTTAATCTGCCACCGACTCTTAATATGTTTTCAGGATCCAAAAATACATTAAGAGATAATAATTTACTTTTTTTTGATAATCTAGATTTAGTTTTTAAATCAGATATTTCTTTATTGAAACATGATGTTTGCGCAATTTTAACTAAGGTTTTGATTGCGTTGTCAAGTTCAAATGGTTTTAGATCACCACTTATTTTATTCATTTTAGAATATTTGATAGGCTTAATATTATTTATAAATCTTAGACAAAATGCAGTTACGTTTCTTAATTTTTTAAAATCAGAAATGCGTGAGAATATAGGATCTAAATTAATACTAAAATGTGATGATATTTTAATTCTTTTCATTTCAAGAACGTTTTCATTACTAAATTGTAAATGTTGTGAATTGTTAAATTGATCAGTACTGCTGTGCAGAAAGTCCGGACCTGACCACCAAAGCTGATTATTTATTAGATCGTTGACGCTTGAGCCTCTCGTAATTAGGTCACTAGGATTTTCTGATGATGCGACGTGAAGCCAAGTACAATTATTAGAAGTTAAGCGTGATATTTCTGCGACTCTGTTAGCCACAAAAGTTTTCCAATGTGACGGTTCACGGGAGAGCCAAGATAAAACAATTGTTGAATCTGTCCATAAATATATATTCGTAAAATTAATATTTATACATTTTAAAACTTTGTTAACTAATTTAGATAAAAGCAATGCTCCACACAATTCTAATCTTGGTAATGAAAGAACCTTTAATGGGGCAACTCGAGACTTAGCGCATAAGAGGTAACTGTGATAATTTTCTAAATCACCTTTTGTTCGTAAATATATACAAGCGCCATAGGCGGACTCTGAGCTGTCAGAAAACCCATGCAGTTGTATATTTGTATAATTATTTTTAATTATATGGCGTGGTATTTTTACATTATTCAAACATTTTAAACCATTCATAAAATTGATAAAATTTACATAAATGTCTTGAGAGACTGCTTCATCCCAAGTTAATTGAAGCTTCCAAATATTTTGCAACATGATTTTAGCTTGTATAATGACAGGAGTAATGAGTCCTAAAGGATCGAATATTTGTGAAACAATCGACAACATTGTGCGTTTTGTGATTTTACTTTTTTGTATGTTTTCATTTATTGAATATTGAAAGGTGTCTGTTGTTGGATTCCACAATATGCCTAAAGTTTTAACAGTTTGATCTTCATCTATTATATAATTTTTCATTTGTGATTGTTCATAGGTGTTTAAAAGTTCTAATCGATTTGACATCCATTGAGTTAGGGGAAATCCGTGCATTTCTAGCACACTAGATATGTCAGATTTCAATTTTTGACAAGAATTTATGTTGTCAGTACCGGTAATTAAATCATCGACATAAAAATCGGTTAAAATAATTTTACAAGCATTAGGATACGTATTCATTTTATTGTAAGCAGCTTGATGCAATGATCGTATTGCCAAAAAGGCAGCAGGACCAGTACCGTATGTAACAGTATTTAATTGATAATGATTTAATTCTTGTGTTTTGTTTTCGCGCCATAAAATTCGCTGTAAATTTCTTTGTTTTGGTTTGATATAAACCTGTCTATACATTTTAGTTATATCGGCCTTTAAGACAACTGAATATTTTCTAAATCGAATTAATATAGAAAACAAATCGTCTTGTATAGTCGGACCCACATATAAAACGTCATTTAGTGATAAGTTTGAGGAACTCTTATTTGAGCCATCAAATACTACCCTTATTTTTGTCGAAACACTGCTATTTTTAAATACGCCATGATGGGGCAAGTAAAATAATTTATCAGAAATATCTATTTCATGTTCTTTGAGTTTGGTCATGTGATTAAGTGCTTCAAATTCTCGCATGAAATTTGAATATGCTTTTCCAAATTCTGCATTTAAATGAATTCTTTTTTCTAACTGAAAGAAACGTTTTTTGGCACTTTCGAATGATTCACCTAAATCAATATAATTTGGTTTAGTAGGCAATGAAACAACGAAATGATTGTTTTCAAATTTAAAATTATCAGTGAAATGTTTTTCACAATATTGGTCATCTTTATTTAATATAGTATTGTGTTCAGAAATTTCCTCGACTGACCAGAATTTCTCTAATGTATTTTGAATTTGTTCGTTGGAGTTTGTTTTCTTGTTTACTGCTAAAAGGCAATGTTCACCATAGCTGGCCTTCATTGGGCCTGAAATTATCCAACCAAGATGTGTTTTTTGCATAGTAGGCTGGTTTGGACCTAATTTAATCTGTCCAATACACAATAAATCGAAAAATATTTGTGCGCCTAATAACAAATCAATTTTTTGTGCTTTATTGAACTCTGGGTCAGCCAAAGTAAGATTTTGTGGAATATTTAAATAATCGATTTTAAATGTTTCACCCGGTAAATAATTAGTGATATTATCTAACACGAGGAAAGTAAGTTGCCGATCAAAACCATTGTGCACTGATTTTATTTTAGTATTGACACCATATGATATTTGTGTAATTGATTGATTCACGCCAGAAATTGGTATATTAATTTTAAATGGTTTTAATTGCAATTTGTTAACTAAATCACTGGTAATAAAATTGCTTTGACTGCCTGAGTCCAGCAAACATCGAACCTTAATGGGTTGTTTATTTTTACAATATATTAAAATTTCAGCTGTAGATAATAATATTTGAGATTTATTAGGTTGTGATGAATGAGTTGAAATTATATTGGAATTTTCATTCTGTATATTATTTACATTCGTGTCCGATTGAATTTCAGAATGTCCTCGAGTTATATGGCTATTAGAAATGGGTCGAAAGTCGTTAAGATGAAGTAATGTGTTATGTTTTTTATTGCAGCGTCTGCAAGCAGATGTTGATAGACATTCGTTTGAAAAGTGATTTGAACGTAGGCAATTTATACATAATTTATGTTTTTTCACTTCCTTTAATCTATCGGGTATAGCTAAGTCTAAAAATGTCTTACATTGATAAACAAAATGTGTTTGGCCACAAATAATGCATTTTGTTTTATTTGTTGAAAAATGCACTAATGTTTTATTTTCTGTTATTTTATTAAATCTTTTGTTTGGAAGAGAATGATTATCGGAAACTTTGATTTGATTCGTGATAGCATTTTCAATAACTTTTAATCTAGATTTTAAAAATTTCTCGAATTTTTCTATTGTTGGTAATGTTTCATTATTATTAGTTGTTTTCTCTTGTTCAATATTTGCTTCCCATGCGATTTTTGTGGTTTGATCTAATTTTGATTCGAATAAGTATAACATGACATTATCATCAATAAATGGTAAAAGGTCTTTCAAACAATTGATTTCCCTTTGAATAGTGTTTAAAAATAGCTTTAATGAATCAGGAGTATACTTGTTCATAACTGGTAAATCAAATAAATTTTTAAAATGACTATTCATTATAGCCCGTTTGTCTGCGTATTGTTCTTTAATTAATTTCCAAGCTATTTCATAATTAACGTCAGTTACCTTTAATGAGTCAATTACCTTCAAAGCATCACCTGTTAAACATGATTTTAGATAATGAAGCTTTTGGTGATTTGGCAAAGATTCATCATTGTCGATCATTGATTGAAATGAATCAAAAAACTGTTCATAATTTGAATAAGAACCGTCAAATTTTGGCAAATCGATTTTAGGTAATTTAACACTTCTCATATTGTTAGTATTGTTATAGGGTGTAGCTGAGTGACTGGATGCGACAGATTGTTCGTAATTTTCCTTATGAAATTCATCAATTAGTTGTTGTGCTTTTGCAGTAACTTTGTAATAAATATCTTCAAACTCATCTCTCTCTATAACTTGTGTTTCATCATCTTTAATGATTTGAATATTTAATTGACATTCTTGGAATTTTTCCCATAATAACTCTGTCTTTTCAAGTTTTTTGATTAGAATTGTTATTTGTTCATTGTCAGATATAAAAGTGTCTAAAAAATTGGATAGCTTTGTCAATTGACCTTTGTAAATTCCTCTTTGTAAAATTAATTCTTTTAGAGTTTTTTCGTCTGACATTTTGTTCAATTGATTAATTTGTGATTTTTAATTTTTTATTTGGATAAATATATTAATATGGAAATATATAACAAAATAATTTGTTTGATGTGATTATAATATAAAAATATATTACGAAAATAATTTGATGTGATTATAAAATATAAAAATATATTACGAAAATAATTTGATGTGATTATAATATAAAAATATATTACGAAAATAATTTGATGTGATTGTAATATAAAAAATATTACGAAAATAATTTGATGTGATTGTAATATAAAAAATATTACGAAAATAATTTGATGTGATTATAATATAAAAATATATTACGAAAATCCTATACAAATCCCAACCATTAAATTATTTCGGGACTATGACAGGATATTGATAAAAAGGAAAGAACTCACCGGGAGCTGGACTTGATGATAGCTGGTACATTTATTTTTCACCCTCGAAGATTCTGATAGTTTATCACTGCACTGGTTACAAAATTGTATGCATCCGGCTCGAAGGACCATGGATAATTTTGTGATTTAAATGCTATTATTTTCTCATTGATAATAATGTAACACTTTTACATTTAACGAATTTATTCATTTAATAAAAATACATGTGTGATTAGGATATAAATAGTTTATATCCGAACTGGGTGAAGTACCAAAGCTCTATATCTGGCTGATGTTCGATACGAAGTCGGAACTCGTTCGCGCACAGCACATAACTCAGTCCGCGATGCTGGCGCTATTTTAAAACGTTAGATGCGCGGTAAATTTAAATTATTCCGAAATTCACCATAATTAATAAATTACTCGTACTCTATCATTTTACCATATGGCAATCATGATTTGTTTTCTTTTAGATGAGGTGTAGCGTCTCTATTTTTCTTGCTATTTTAGCAATTGCTTCTGCTTTAAATGATCATGAAGAATGGATGCATTTCAAAGTAAGTCGTTTCAAATCAATTGATATCCCAATTGCTCCCTTATATATCATTTGGTAAGAACGGTGGGCATAGATAGAACACGAATAGGTGGGTTAAAATTCTCCCGTTAATAGTTTTCATTAAATTTGTTGTTACCTTGAAAGTTCTCAATTAATTTTTATTATTTCGTAGGGTAGTTGTGGGATTTATTTGTGATTAAATCAAAATTTTAAAAAAATATAAAATTTAAAATGTTTCAGTTGGTTACTATCATTTTAATAAAAAAATGTAAATTATGAGTTAAAAAATAAATTTTAAAAATAGGTTTATTTTGCATTAAAACGATATATCTATGTTTTTTGAACTTTTATATTTTACACAAATGTATTTATTGTATTTTCATTAAAGAATCTAGTACGAGAAAAAAAATACTTTGACGTCATTTAGTTTTAAAGTATTAATCGTGCACATCTGTAAATTTGAAAATAAATAGTGTGTTTTCTGTTAAAACAATTAACCAATTTATTAAAGAAAAATAAATCTAAATTAATTTTTAAAACAAATTTAATAATTAATAAGAAAATGAGGTCGTGACATGGTCTTGGACTTGGAGTTATTTCATTTTCACTTATTTTTTATTTTAAATTGGTCACATTTAAATATTGGCATATTTTTCCCGCTGGCTTGAGTTGTGATACTTTCTCAAAAATATTGGTAGTTCTCTCACTTTATACTATTTCATAACCCGTTACAGGCGCAAACCTAAGTATCAAACGAAATTCTAACCTGTTTTTTTTTAGCAAAATCATGGAAAAATGTATAAAGATCGAGTAGAAGAAAATTTTCGGTTTTCAGTGTTTCAAGATAATTTACGCAAAATCGAAGAACATAACGAAAAATTCGACCAAGGACTATCTACTTTCAAAATGGGGATGAATTTATTTGGAGATTTAACTGCCGAAGAATTTCTTGAGAGACAAAAGCTATCAAAAAGGAATATACCTTCGATTTCACCAAAAACTGAAAATGTTGAAGGTAAATATGATGACGATGTTCCTGATACAGTTAACTGGGTAGAGAAGGGAGCAGTAACGGAAGTGAAAAATCAAGGAGACTGTTCATCTTGTTGGTCATTCAGCACAGTAAGTAGTTCACTTGTTCACCTGGTTTTTACCACCTCGTTAAATATATATATATTTTTTTTTTTTCGAAACAAATATATTTTTTTACCACTGATCAATTATTTGACATTTTTAATTTAAATAATTTTTAATGCATCGCGATTAAAATAATATTACCATATTTTAACAAAAAAATTAAAATCAAGGCCCAGGACCTTTCTTAGGATTAATATTTATTTTTATATCGTTTGCAGTTTTCCATAGAGGTTGATCTGATGATTGAGTCATCTCTTTCTGGAAGAACCTAGTTTGATAGATATTCTCCTTCATTTGATTTGAACGTATTAAGTGCTCTGCGAATCTACTAGCTTTTTGTATGTTATTTCTACCCCAGCAGCCTGCCACCTGTATTCCTGATTAAAGCATTCTGCACAGTGAGGCCTTTCAATCGCTTTGTGATTTTCTATAGAGAATAATCAGTAGATTTATCGTTTGTTAACTCACTAAAGTACTCACAAATTAATTCATTTTTGATTTATTTTATTTCTCTTTTTAACTGCTGGGTGGCGTTTTTAAGTTTGGTTTTATCCGATAGAGCTCTGGTCTAAAACAATTTCCTCCTTAGTTTTCTTTTTGCAAAAAATTGGGTCTATTATTTCTTCAGCATAATTATTTTCTGTTGTCGTAGCGACTTAGGCGAGAAATGTGCTATAAAAGATTTTCATCACGATATTATTTTAGTTTTAATTCTAATCTATAACGTAAGTTTTTATAGAAATCTATTCGCTGCCACTTTGATCTAGCTTTCATTCTTTGCTATAAATCTTTTTACATCTAGTGGTACGTTTGTTTTTTTTTAAATGGTATTCTTGATTGAATGTGGCTCTTTTGGACTTTCTAGAGTCATTTTTAAATATACTTGTGGGGTACTATATTTCAGTTTACTTTTGTATTACAAAGTTTAACTATTTTTCAACATATTTCTATTAATGATAGTAAACTTGATGTTTCCTTTCTTATTTCTTTAAGTATACATAATATATGGTATGATAATATAGTCTTATGAATCTTATGTAAATAAAACTTTTTGTTGTTTCAAGTGACTGTCAAAATCTAAAAATCTAACTGTTCTAAACATTATGTGAATATATTTCATTTTGATATTTACAAATAATATATTTTTGTCAATATACGTCTTTTGTCAGCAAAATATAACTGATATGGAATTTAGATATATTAATAACCTTCTGACAGATTAAAGAATGCTGATACTCAAAATTTAAGCAATGTTTTTGTGATTACTGTATTAAGATAATTTTGCAATAACCATTATATTATTTATTTATTAAATGAACCTTTTTTTTATGAAAGTATATTATTATGAAGTATTATAGTGACTTTTAAGGTACATTTTGTTAAGGTTTAGTGGTTATTATTGTCTCTTATTGGGTTAGTGTTGTGCATATTTATGTAATAATGGATAACGAATTGGTAGTTAACTTTTTTAAAAAGGATGAATTGTTAGTAAGGGGTATACCAATTATTAATACTTAAACTGTTGATGATATGAGAAATTGTCTACGTTCGCTTACTGGAGAGGGATAAAAAATCTTTAAATTACCCAGAGTTGGATTTAAATTTTAATGAGGAAGTTACTATTATTTCTTAAAAATTAAAATAATTAACTTATTATATAGGGAATATTCCTGAGGAAAATTCAAAAACGAAATTTGAACGCACTCAATCAAGACATTTATTGCAGAGAGTAAATATTCAAAATGTTAACATTGATAATGATCTAACACGTTATCAGGTTGTTAATGATTTACATACTTCATGGTATTATAATCAAATTCCAGTCCATATAAATGGAATATTAAATTTACTGGTCAACCTGATGATATTTTTGTTTATGTTTTTTTGGATAAGATCTCTCATATTAGTTTAGCACGTAAGATATCTGAGAGGGAATTATTTGACTCAGCTTATGAATTTTTTGAGGATAATGCTAGGAATTGGTTTATAAACAATAGGAATAGAATTAACGATTGGCAGGGTTTGTCAAAATTGTTGACTTCTCATTATAGTACATCAGATTTTAGACCTAGTCTTTTTGAAAATATTTTGCGTAGATCTCAAAATGCTAATGAGAGTATTATAAACTATTTAACTTGTATAAAATTAATATTCAGAAGACATGGTTATATTAGTGATTCTATGCAATTGGATATTATTATTAGGAATTTAGCGCCTTTTTATACTTCTCAACTTCGGCAAGTTAGTTCATTACAAGAATTGGTATCAGAGTGTGCAATTTTATAAACCAAGAAATTTAGAGTAAATAATTATGTATCACCTAATCAGAATGGGTTAGATTATGTTGATCCAGAATTTTTATATGTTCCACCTAAAGTGAAGGGTAAAAATGCAGTTCATGAAGTTTCTTTTACTTCATCATTGAACTCACCACGGGGTAATTTATTAAATTGTTTCAAAAATATATTGCCCTAAAACGTTTTAATCAAAATAAACTAAAACAAAATGTTTTGTATCAACTACCACATGGTGCGCCAATTACTGTTACGTTAATTTATAAAAAAAAACTATTGAATATATTGTATCTAATTCAACTCGAAAATCAAAGGTATCAGAGACCAGAGTGATTAACAGTTACATCAACTAGCCCAAATTCACGGTGTGGGATTTATATCGCACCACGACCTTTTCTGGTGAATAAAAGTACAAAATCCTTCGATGGATCGAACTCTGATGCTTACCTCACAAATCCAATATTTATATATTCAAATATGTACACCACATTCAGCGACACTAAATAAAAGAGACTCTGTAGACTAACCTTTCTAGGTCCAGGGTTTTTTCACTGGACGATACTCCTTCTATATCTTTAAATAAGGGAAAAAAGGTTGAAGAAAATTCTGAAGTTTTCCCAAACAGATTTTAATAGACAAATTCCTCTTGGCCTTCTCTGGCACATTTATTACAGTTTCTCACTTGGTTTGGTTCCCATTGTTCGACCAATCGGAGCTAGGTTACCTACGCTAATCAACAAAGATCAGTACATATGGTTTACAACAGGTTAAAATTAGGTGTACATAGAAAACTTGCTTCTTACAAAATAAACACATAAAAGGTCAATATCACAAGTTACCCAGGTACAATATAATGGAATAAAATGGTTATGGATTCTGAACTACAACTGAAACAAAAAATAGGTCCACAAGTGACCTAACCCTATGGTATAAAATAAACAAATGATCAATGATTATTAAAAGAAAAATATTCCCCAAAAATAGGGGTAAGAGTTTATCAATAAACTATTGGGTAACAAGTAAACTGATTATGGGTTCAAAATGTGTCTAGGAGGAAAAGTTTTTAATCAAAGTAACGAAGTAACTAGAGCTGTAAAAATATACTCATTTGAACAGTAATACAAAGGAACAATATAAAAAGAATAAATAAATAAGTTCTAGAAATCTTTGAAACAAGCAGTAATTAAAAACTCATATTTTATTATATTGCTATTCAATGCACACCATTTTAAAGCTTAGAGTGTCTACTTTTCGAATGTATTTTTGTTTTGAGTTCTTTTCCCTTTTTCCCTTTTATGTTTAAAATTTCCGCAAAACGGGAAATTTTTCTCCGATTGGCAACACTGTAATATCTGCAATATCGCTCGTCTCGGGAATCTACCGCGATCCTCCCTCTTGACCACCTTCGGCGTTGCAAAATTTATTCGTTAGTCGCCGTATCTCGGATAGCTCTAACACGGCCAGACTGATAGGAGATACGTTCTCGAGACACCTCCTCTTGGTATGGTTCCAAAGACCCATTGTCTGGAGAAATTTTAAAACAAATCTTGCACGATGTTCATAATTATACTATGTTTAACATTTCAAAAGATTTCACTAAATTTGTGCTAAGTAGACAAAAATGAAAGGATTAAGTTCAGAGGTACTCTTCAGATAATTGTCTGACCTGTACTTAACTTCTTTAATCACAAGGATAAAAGCTTTAAATGAAAGCTCAGAGGTACTCCTCAGATATTTAACTGACCTTCACTTAACTTTTGACTAAAATAAAAACAATAGAAGTTTAAAGGTACTCCTCTGGGGTTAACCTGACCTGAACTTGACTTTCTGGCCACATGAAAATAATATTAAATTCAGAGGTACTCCTCAGGAATTAACCTGACCTGTACTTGACTTATCTGACACGGCCACGAAACCAAAATTCAGCTTACCAATACGCATTAAATTTTTAATGGTATTTTACTATTATTAAAAGTTACGTTGCGTAGACTTTTTAAGTTTTTGCCATTTTATATTTCTCTCCAGTATCTATCAGACAGGTGGGGAAAATTATATTTAACTTTTCTTAATAATAAGTTAAGATGTACCAGTCCCCTTAATTACATTACTTTATTCTGGAACACCCCGTATATAAAGACAGTTAGTGATTATTGAACGAAACTGCTAATATTTCATTTTGATGTGTTGAGAAGATACATAATTTGGCAGTAGGAATATGCAAACCACAATACACTATTTAGTACTGACAACACCTTAAGAAAAATAAGCTTGTTAAAATTTAAAACTATATGATTCCTATCTTCTGGTTTAATTGAATATTCTTAATACAGTTTTTGGTTTTAATAAACTTAAATAAAAAATGAACTTCTGTTAGAATAATTATGGTAGAAAACCTAATATTTAATTATATTTTTTCAGACTGGCGCAACTGAAGCTGCATATTTTATTAAAACAGGAGAACTCATTCCTCTGAGTCAACAAAATCTCGTTGATTGTGCTAGAGATCATTGTTACGGTTGCAGCGGATGTTGGATGGACAGAGCTATGGAGTACGTTGAGAAAAATGGGATAATGAAAGATGGGGATTACCCTTATAAAGGACAAACCGATGAAGCTTGTTTATTCAATGTATCGGAATCGGTAGTAAAAACCAAAGGACATGTTTTTGTAGTTACAGGCGACGAAGATGATTTAAAGAAGGCTGTTGCTAGACAACCAGTCACTGTAGCTATAAACACAGATTATTCGTTTCAGTTCTACCAAACAGGTAAAATATTTTATCTGATAAAAAACTTTTTGATGTCAAATTTTTACCAAAAAAAAAACATAGTGTTAGTTATAATCAATATATTTTTAGGTATTTTCGATAATCCAAATTGCAAAAAAGACAAAGCTCATTTAGACCATTCTATATTGATTGTTGGATATGATACTTTAGAAGGAGTTGACGTCTGGCTTGCAAAAAATTCGTATGGTACATCATGGGGTCAGAAAGGATATGTGTGGCTGTCAAGAAATAAGGATAACCAATGTGGAGTTGCTTCATATGCTGTATATCCAGTTTTGTAAATATGAAAACCTCAAATGAATTCTTTATTCAGTTACATAACACTATCATATTATAGACTATGGAAAATCTTTTATATTATATGATAATTTTACCAAAACAAATATTTTCATTATTTCTATGCTTATATCTGCTTAATAAACGTTTTGCTTTCTACTTTTTTATATATTACCCTTCGTGTCAAAAAAATAACAGCAAACAGACTTCAGTAGGTACTAGTTTATTAATAAATATAGAATTACCCAAAGCTGGTATTAGTTTCGGCAGAATAAAAGAGCCAACTTGCCGTCTACCTTTTAGTGCAAAAACTTTTGAGTATTTTGACTGGATAGTAAAAAGTCCCGTTCCTTTGACATTGTAAATCCTATGTGGAGGATACAAATAGTTTCTCTGGACGTCTTCTAAAATGTCAAAGAATTTCAAGACAGTTGATTTGTTGACGGCTTGGGCTCTTTCTGTGGACGTTGCCTTTGGTTTTCTCAAAACAATTTTGCGATGGTGCTTTCTAAAGCCGGCAATCTAATATCTCCCAGAAAATTTGTTTGAATGATTGAACGTGTTAGAAATATTATTCTTTGCTGCCAGTTGATAAGTAAGGCTACGTAGATCTGCTACTGTAACTCCAAAAAAGCGTAGCTCCATGTCCAAAAGATGATTAAAAGCTCTTGTTCTTGTTCTTCAGTAAAAACTGCACGATAACGCCCTAGACATTTTTTGTTTGAAGTAGCTTGCTGGTTTTTTTTTTAGAACGTCTTATTGGAGTGTTCTTTGACACGCTAAATGGCTTGGCAGCCGTTTGTCACGCATTATATTGTTTTTCACTGCCTCGATAGCTCGCTGCATTGCCTTGGGGTTCCAGGCCTGCTCCTTGCTCTTTCTTTTGTATTTGGACACCAAGTTCACACAATTAATACCGACCTCTCTAAGGCGTTTGATAATGTGTGTCAGCAGTTGCTTTTAAAGAAACTATCTGAAATCGGTGTAATAGGCAATTACCTCAAGTGAATTAAATCGTATCTTATTAACCGTCGGCAGCGTGTTACAGTGAGTCGTTTTATGTCGCTGGGAAGTGACAGTGTTTTCGGATGTACCTCAGGGTTCGCATATTGACTCTATTTTATTTTTATTGTTTATAAACGATGTAATATCCTGTTTTAAAAGTTTTCATTGTCTTTTATATGCTGACGATTTGAATTTTTTTAGTATTGTGGAACTTAATCGCAACGCCCTACTGGAGATCGAAATAAGAATAATAATATTCTAATGTATATTTAAAATTACTAACTTTTATTTTATATGAAAAATAGAGTGATTGGTAAACATGTGACAATATTAAAAAATTATATTTTAAAAGAGATTCATGAATACCAACTTATGGTATTAATTATAAAAACTTTAAAATCAAGAATATTATAATAAATTAACATAACAAACTAGCAATTGATTAAAAATAAATTTAAAAAATATATAAAAAGGTAGCATTTATATAAGGAAAAATGGTCATTATTATCATTCAAATCAAAAAATTATTATTTTCTTTCGAATGAAAGTATATAATCGATAATGATAAAGAAGTAAATAGTTATGTCATAAAAAACCCAGAGACTTATACATTAGGAGGAATTTTTAAAATTTATAAATGTATATTTTGTTTTTAATTAAGTACTGAAAATTTTATAAATTTATTTAATTCCCTTCATCATTTTAAATTTAAAAACTACTTTTGTAACTTTTAACGTTATGAAATAAAACACCAAATGTGATAAATCAATTAAAAATAAATCAGATTTAGAATAAGAGGCAATCGAGTATATTGGAAAGGTTCACACAATTAAATAAAATCAGTCTATAATAATCCAATTAGGATTAAAGCACGTTGCTCAAACAACCTATGAAGTTAGAGCCGTAAATATTCAACAAACCAAACCCTGCTGTACAAATATTGGTGTGTTATGTAGTGGATAAGTTTATACAGGATGTAACAAAAATATTTACAGTAAATTTAACCACTGTTTTTGGGATTGAAAATAAATCGATTCAAGCTAATTTGCTTATATAAAAAATTAATAGTAAAAAAATACAAAATAGAAAATTTAGATTTTATGTTTTGAACTTACTCTAAAACGGTTAAACATAGTTTTATAAAAATATACATGATATATTACTATACAGTGACCAATAAAATTGAGTCAGTGGCGTTCAACATTTTTTAATTCCTAATTTGATATTTCAAAGAAAAAAACTGCATAAATAAAATAAATAAATAAATAATTATAATTGCATAAGTTGATAAAAAATGCTATGCAATAGCTTTACCGCGGCAGTCCTCGAGTGCCACACGTATTTTTTTACTATTTTTTAACTACATTTACAATAATTATTCCCTTGTAATATCCATCATCTATGAAGTTGCAAAATAGTAAAAAAAGACCAATAGGAAAATTTTATTGTATTTCCATATCCTTCCTTCAATGGCCAATAACTGAAAGACAAAAAAACAGATGTAGGATTTTAGTATAGTGGCTTTTACCTGAATTTTAATATTTAAAATAGTAGGGTATCAAAGGCGTGCGAAATTGTTAAAATAAAAAAAGAACATCAAATTATTTTTCATTTTTAATTTCTCCTACAAAACAGAAATGAGAGTAATGGGAAAATAACAAAATTTTAATTATTTAGTTTTATTGTTACACATCACTTGAAAAACGAATAATTATTTATTCGGCCTCCACTGATATTTAAGCGAACATTTTTCTAAAGTACTTTGTAAAAAGTACAGATTCCCATAGATTAAAAAAAAAACTAAAATTTGATTTAATAGCATCTTACAAAAGAAACCGTTAAAAACAAAGTGCAGTTCTTTCTATCTTTTGAAAAGTATAACATTATATTAGGCAAATTTTATGCAAAAAAATAAAAAGGCAAAATTCAAGGTAATCCATCTCATCCTTCAACTTATATCCACCCCTATTTCGTAATAGTAAACCAAGACTAAATATTTCACGCGTCAGGGATTCTAGTATCAAATATGATGTTTTGGTGGGAGGCGTGTACAGAATACATTTGGCACAATATACTCGTCTTTTCAAAAGTAAATATGTTGTCTACAAATGCGGATTTAGGTTGGGCCGTTAGTCTCTAGGAGATATAAATTTCCGGACTTATCTGCCATCATACTTTCCGCCCTCTGCTTTTCTGCGGAATTCATGTGGTAGTTATGATGTTACGAAGTACTAAATATCCCTTATCTTTCCTCGATTGATTCTGTTTATCGAGATAAAAAGAGAAATTGTGTTTTATTTTATGTACTTTTTTGAGATTATCTTTTTGGATAACAAAATGAATAATTTTGCATTGTTGGTGAGCTAGTGTATACAATTCTTTATTTGTTTTTATTCATATTTGAAATGTAATGTTTATTTAACATAAAATCAAGAATCGCACTGGATCAAACGACATGAAACTACTAGACAAATTTTGTTTACAAAAATTGAATTGCAAATATTCACGGTGTCATCCACGTAGTAGTCTAATAATAATAATTTTATTTATTTCTGTAGACCTGTATATATAGGTATAGAAAACGTCACATAAAATTTACAAACAAGACAAAAATGTAGGAGTAAAAGCAAACTTATATATAATTCGTTACAAACAATATATTTAAAACACGAGTGGGAAATATTTTCGCACGAGACACAAGCCGAGTGCGACTATCACACGAGTTTAGAAAATCACTTTTTACACAAGTGATGTACAATATTTTTCCTACTATCACAAGATAATTTCATCAAAAAATGTAAAATCAGGTTATTATTATAATAATTAAAATGTATTTAAAAAAATAATCAACAATAATCGTATTTATTCAATTTTCATATTTTCTAAACAAAAAAAAACTAAAAAAACAAAAAATAAAAATTCTACTGCTGCAAGGATTTGAACGCGGTCGCTCACCAGGTCTCAAATGGCAAAGTTAATAAAGTTTGATACTCTAACCATCTGAGCTAATAGGCCTTGCGTCAATTGAAGGATCTAATCGGTTATGTGTTTAACCAGAATAAAAAGCAAACATAACTTAGTTATTTTAAAATTATTTTAATAATAATTGTTAAAGATAAATATTTAGGATCTAATTTACAATAATTTCAATAATTTAACAATCATATCCATTTTAGTATTAATATGGGCATTACATAGATCAAAATGGAAATGACGCGTTTGACATTTTGTGACAGCTGATGCGGAAAGTAGCATATTCGTCCACGGGTGGAAAGTAAATTCTTAGCAAGGAGTAGAAAGTCCATAAAGGCGATGATTTATATTTATTGCTAAGTTCATTAAAATATGCCAAAGGTACATTTTCTGTAAACGAGTTACACCAATCTTGAAAATTTTAGTATACACCTTTATACTTGTTTTTTGATTTTTCTGATAATAAATTCTGTATTGCATTATTAGCTACTTCTCTTATTTCTGGAGGTGTACATAATAACTCATCTTCAACATTCATCGACTTTAAAATTTCCAAGAATTTACTGCGCACACTATTTTATTGATACTATTAATTGCTCAAAAGCAGTTGAATAATTAATATATAAATTAATAGGAGTAGATAAACATTATAATGTTGTAAACGTTTACCGTCACTGTAGACATGTCAAAAGATGCCACAGTAGGCAGAACTGTAATTTGTCGAAATTTGGCCTGGTTACTGGCAAATACAAGAAGACATCTGGAATGTATCTGATGATTCGTCGGAGTATAGATAAGTTTATAATATTTATGTATAATATTTTTAATACAAATGTTGATGTACGTCATGCAGTGTTGTCTAATCATCTGAATATTCGAGGAATGTAGGAAGTTTTGAAATTGTAAATTTTTATTTTTTGTCATGTTACTAGTACCAATAATTTTAAATGTATATAACTACTTATAAAAAATGTTAAATAAATGTATGCATAATAAACATCCGAAAAAAAAATGCAACAAACATTGAAAATAGTCATGGAAAATATAAAAAGCGTAGTAGATTGATTTATTCATAAAACGCATGTTC